AGGAAGACATCATCTGTAACAGAAACGTAGTTTTGTTGTGGGTACGTTTGTACATACTTTGTCATGTAGATAATAATACACTGCGCATATACATATTATGATATATATATATATATATATATATATATCAAGCGTAATCTGGACATCCCGTTTGTGAAATGAAATGTATGTTGATCTTCAAATATTTGTGTGTTTTTATTGGTTTTGGTTTTGTTTTATCTTACTCGCTTCAAATGCTACGCAAGTAACTTACAAGTTTAACTGTTAGTAAAAGTTTGGTAAAGTCTGTTTACTGAAGATTCTAAAAATTTGGAAATAGTTTAGGAATTGTGCTGTTTCAGCTGATCAGGTTCTGTTTGAATTGTACTTTTCTAAACATAAATGGTTGTAAAAAAAAAAGGTGCCAAAATGAAAGGTTATGCACCAAACGGTTATCTTGCAGGATTAGCATTAGTTTGTCGGAGTTGAAAACAGTTATACGATAATACTAAGTGTATAATGCGACTTTCATACTTTATTTATTTCTTCACTAATCAGCAACTATGATCAAAAATCTTGAAATGATACTGGTTACAAAGGACACGTTTTGTGCAGTTATATACTGTCAAAAATATGGTACAAGAATGTGATCTAAACACCAACCTCTTTTAATCAGTAGATATTCTGAGTGAGGGCATTGAAAAATACAATAATTTATGGATATTTTTTCTTAAATACGTAGATACTGTCATTATTTAGTAGTAGGTGTATATCTGAAAGCTTCTGTAAGTCAGATGCGTGAGCTGACACCATTATCTAGTCTCTTTAGATCATCATCTTGTTCGCTGTAATCGATATGGTTTCAAGTCTTTCGCTACTTTCTCCATCCACACGACTCCTCTCTCTTACGGAATGAAGGGCGTCAGGCTCAGTGTAGAGCCAAAATACATTTGTAATTAAGAAAAAAACCCTTAAAGCTAATTGTGGATTCTTATTCTATAAAACAAAAACTAATATATTATGAATTTCTCTATTATACATACAAATGTTTTGTGCGAACAAAAGATCTCACTGTTATAAAACACGATGGTGACTGACAGTGCTTGACAAGTGCGCCATCTATAACCCAGATTCTTCTATTAGGCAAAGAAGAAATATGATATATTACTGTTTCTATTAATTTCCACCTTTTAAGACCAAATTAATTTAAACCAGTGGCGTGCATTCCTTTCACTGTCCTTTTTTTTTCTAAAAAAAATATGTTGTTCCTCGTTTCTACTTTATCATTAATAGCTTAATAATACCATTGCCTAATGGAAATATTAAATAATACGCTTTTGTGAGCATTTCCATTACAAACAAATTTAATGAAGGTATATCATTGTTTGTTATAAATTGTAAAAAAAAAAAAATGTAACCCATCACTGAGAGTTGATAATTGCACAGAATAGATGGCACATTGTAAGTGTATAATAAATATTGTACTGACATTGGCAGATAGAGAAGTTACTGAAATAGAATTGAATTGTTAATTTGGAGTGCGATGTAATGAAAAGATGGAGTTTGTGTTATATTCTCTATCTGTTTTTCAATTATGTTTACACGTGTAATAAAGTGAATGATTAACAAAAGTGCCACTAAACTTTACTGTGAAATAACGTATATGCACATATACGTAAAAACCGTCACCGTTATTGTTGTATAAGTCTATATGTCTGTGTGCTACTGGTTTATCACGTTTTTTTTATACAAAATCTTATTTATGTAAATCTTCAAAAAAAATAAATATAAAAGATTGTGGTTGGCAAAGTTAACCCTTCTAATGAAGGACGAGAAATGTAGCACATGAACTCGTGGGTTAGTTTTTAATAAAAAGAGGTTTGTACACAAACCCTCACTATTCTGTTAATATAAACTTACTATTGTATGCCATTCAATAAGAGTCATATTAGCTTGTTGGGAGAACTAAGAATATTTATAACAACTTTGTCAGTGTCACATTCTACTCCGTTGGTTAAATATGTGTACATGTATATTACTAAGAATCCTTTGTTATGCCTCTTAGCAACAAGAATTATACCATTCCACTTAAAGTTTCTGTACAGATTACAATAAACTGGCGAATTATATGCTTCTTCTTGCTTCGGTGTTGTTGATTTTTTGACAAACAAACTCAATATAAGCAACAAACATCTACTGCCACATTGAAACCTAGAAAAATAAAAACAAAATAATGTCATTGTTGAAAATTTAAAATGGTTTTCTACTGAAAAAAAACGAACAAGTAATTATTATTAATATTTAAATATATTCGATTGGGTACTCTCGCTGATAGCGATGTTTTCGGCCATAATTCCAATAACTTTTTACTAGATTCGGCCATCTAAGGAGATCTGTGTTTGTGTGCAAGCCCTGTATTAGGCTAACAATCTAAAATAATCCTTATATTAAGATACATAATCACAAGTTAAAAACAATAAAATATTGTTAATGAAAACAGTATTAATATTATTAACGTTTGCATAAAAATGCGTAAGGTAATTAACTACTGAGGAAATTGTGTTATGCAAAACAAATGTTTACAAGGTGAAAAAAAGCACGGTCGAAATTTATAGTTACAATTTTAAACTAATGTGATAGAACGTAGTTTCTTGACGATAACAGTGCATAATTTATCCAATATGTACACTTCAAATAGGTATAACATAAACTTACTCTGTTCCCAAAAACCTAGTCATAAAACTTACTCAAACTCCTCCCAAAAATATGCATAAGTACATTCACCCTTCTCACAAAGACTAGTAAATTATAGTTAGCCTGTTCCTAAAACCAAACTATAAAGCACCCTTAAACTCTCCCTAAAAACTATGTTTGAAGTAACCCTCAATGCATTCTTGAATACTGGACAAAATGTACTGTCAACATGTTTCCAATATCTAGGTACAAGATCTTCAACTTCTTCCCAAAAATATTTAGTAGGGAATTCCATCAACCCGAGACTTTCAATAGGAAAATAATACACAGATCGTGTAAATGTTTTGGATATCCAGAGAATCAAATCTATATGTAAACCTACTTTACCTTATTAGTTCGGAAACCTATGTTAAAGATATTTCACCAACAAAACGAAACACATCATATAGTGTAAAATACTGGTGATTAAGCCTAATCTTTATACCATATATTTATGAAATTTGGATATAAATAAATGAAACATGCATCTCAAATCAGACCTGCAAAATACAAATACAAAACCCATCATTGGTGTGCTTACCTTAAACATAGTAAATTTACATTTCAGCAAATCAATTTTTATTAATAAGTACAGTGCAAATCAAATTTTGTCTTCTAACCTTACATATTGGGGCTGTTATATTTTAGTAAACTCTTTACCCATTAAAAATTTGTGCTCACATAACATTTGTAATTTATACTTGTAGAATAAATTATACGTGTTTGCTATTGGGTGATATAAGCCAAGTGTTTCGAACAACTTGTATATATGTTTCACATGATGCCAGTTAGGTAACTAGGAGAGAGCAACTTCCACCACTCTTTTTGATATCAATATTTAAATCTGCTACTTTAATTTATGCAATAGTTCTAGATGTTTAACTTGTCCATCAGCCATGGATTTTCAACATGTACTGCAAGACATACCACTATGTAAAATTGATAATGTAATTTAGTTATTAACTTGTGGTATTAAATATGTAGGACAAACAACTAATCATTTACATCTAAGGATAATCTACATAGATCTCAAAGTAATAAGGGTTTTCCTGATTCGATTGAAATAGATCATTTTAACAAACATTAATTTAATAATGTCAAAAATTGCTCTATTGAATATATATATATATATATATAACGTTAATCTGTTAACAGAAAGAGAAAAATACTTTATTTTGAAAGAAAAATTTATACTTATGCTGAATCTATAAGTATAAATGCTTGTATTAGAAACTTGTTTCAGATAAATACTTATAGTAATAAACA